GGATAAGGTACTCCTTGCTAATGCTATTATCACCACTTTAACATGAAGTATATTTTATCTATTACTCCCTCCGTCCCGTTGGAATGTTCCCGCTTTCCTTTTTTGGATGTCCCGTTAGAAAGTTCCCCTTTCCCTAAATGGAAAGTTATCCCACATCAAAATAGTGTCAAACAGTGCAAAACAGTGTCAAACAGTGTCAAAACAGTGCCAAACAGTGTCAAAACAGTAAAATTTACCCCCTGGTAAGTTTATTTCCTTAATATGTGTGTAGGTCAAACCGGGAACATTCCAACGGGACGGAGGGAGTATATGAAGATATGGATGTCCAGATTATATTTTTGAGTTACTATATCCTATCTGTATTCGGAGTATTATTTATTTCTTCTGATGAATATGTGTTTAGTAGTTCCCCGTCAGGGCTGGCCCAGTGGGTGTGTAGGGTGTCCGACCGCACAGGACCCAAAAATATGGAAGACCCAAAAAAATAAATTAGTAGTAGTATTACTACTAGTCTACTACTCAATATAAGTTAGTCAGCCCATTAGCGAACGAAAAGGTGCGGGACAAGCATAGCAATCTGCGAAAGAGGAAGCGCATAGGCCAAAGGGCATAACGAGTGACTGAGCGAGACGAACGACGTGTCGACGACTCTCCATCTCCAGGCTCTGCTCCAACCATCCTGATTTCAAAGTTGTTGCGGCAATTCGGCCTTCGGACGGCTGCAGTATTCACTTCTTACCATCGGCAATGGGCATCCACTCATCTAGGACGGCGGGACTCCACTATTCTAGGTAAATTCGTAACCAATTGAGAGTAATTATTCTTTATGAATTAATATTATAATCTAAGTTCAACAAAGTGATATTAATAGGTTCTTAGGTTGTTAAATTTGTTTTTGTGTCACTATACAACTTTATGCGTAAATAATTTTTTTCTTGGACTTATTACTATTAGTTAATACTAGCAACTTCTATTTTGAAATAATTCTTTAACAAATTACTACTAATCCGTATCAACAATTTACCATTTCAATTGAAATAGCATTTCTATTAACGATTGAAAGGAAAGACCTCATTTTTGTTGTTGCACAGGGCCCTCGTTTTCTTGGGACCGGCCCTGTTCCCCGTTTAGAAAAATATCTATATGTAAATGCTATAAGTACGTACATGTGAATCAAGACAAACTTGATGAAAATAATACAAATGGATAAGTGGGATACTGTTAGTAGAATACTCATCATGCATGCGATTGATAAATATATACTCGTAGTTATAGTAAGTGATTTTAAAGCATTTAAGTTAATTGAAGAAGCTGGATGAATACAAAATCATGGATACGAATATTTAGTACTACGTATACATATACTCGTATAAATGTATGTGACTATATGTTTAATTTAGTGATGATGCTTTGTGATTATCATATTTTCCAATAATACATGGATTCATGGAATATTTTTGAAAACAGCCTTACTCCGGGATTTAGATGTTAGAAATGGGTACCTCTGTTCTGTTCTGTTTTGGGTACGAGTTGGTTTCACCGACTACGACTCTTCTGGTGTGCTAGCATATGGCCCAGGCTAGGGTCCTCTGAATCTGAAATCTCTGTTCCGTTATCCGATGATCCTAGTGATCTGAGGATCTCTGTTATCTGATGGGTAAAGTGACTAGAACTTTGTTCGAAATTACTTTATCTGTATCCTTAGCTAGATTCTGATCCTAAGAGTAAAGACTGAAATTAAAGCACTAAAGAATTAGGTATTCAGAAAGTTGGATGATGTCTATGAATTTGAATAAGATTTATGTGTGATTATTTTCCTTAAAGGATATATGTTCGGGTTTACTGCTATGTGCAACTATACTAAATCACCTTAATCTGATTGAAAAGATGGATTTTTTTGAAATGATCTGTATTAAAGAAGCGTTGAGTGAGATTATATGAAATCTTTATACGTATTTTTGAATATGAAGTTTTGACAATTTTCTCATGATTTATTTCTAATAAGTGATAAATTTATAGTTATATTATGTGAAATAATAGTGTTAGCTAAATTTGACTTCTATTATGATAATGTGTGATATGCATGTTTCACTCACCCGTTTTAATTGTGTAAATGGACTATAATGATATTAATGCTTCTTTGACATATATTTGAGTACCAAATACAGATACATGATTATTACATGTTATATTACAGTATCACTCAGCAATTCATTGCTGAGCGTGCAGTTTTTCTACACGTAGGTGAATAAGAGATTCAAGTTGGAGCTTGGAACGATGAGACATCTGGAGAGGATGACAATGCATTTGTTTTTATTTCCATGTTTTAAGTTGGTACAACCAACAATTCTTCAAAATAAAACTTGTATTATGTTTGTAAGAACTCGAATCCAGCTTAGGTCTCAGCTTTATATCCACAAAGGATACCAATATCACCACTAGAATCACTAAGGGGAGAAGGGGAGTCAGCCAACAACCTTAATTCCGGCCAAAATGGTCTATTTCCGGCGAAACCCACCAAAGAAGAGAAAGGGGGAAGACTGGTTCTGGGAAAAGATTATCGCGGCCAGCCCTTCCATCGACAGAAAGAAGGGGATTAAATAGGATAAGTGAAGGAATCAGATATGGCAACTTACCAAACCAGAAGATACGCATTAATCGATGGAAGGGGAGAAAGAATCGCAGCAGCTCCAGAGAAGGAAAGGAAGTGCGAACGGAAAGAAGGCAAACAAGGGCCGGGTCACCCAATTTCAAGGTCTTGGGCTTATGGGAAAAAAAAGGGGGCCAATACCAACAATTTTGGTTTCAAAGTTTTATTATTCATACCTCAAATTAAGTTTTCGTGTGACATGTTTGTCAATAAAGAGATAACGATTACATTTTCTTAAATGATTTTCTAATTTAATTGGAAAGTTTTGCTAAATGATAAACGATAGTGACATCTGTCCCGAACCGGCCAGACCGGGCGGAGTGGGTGTTACAAATAGTCAAATAGTACTGAATTTGTTAACATGTTTTAAAATGAGATATTCTTTTTTCATACCGAATTAATCACGAGTAAGATTTTTTTTGAAAAAACAAGGATGACACCCCATCCCCAAGGGCCCCCAACACCGACCGGACGACACGATGGGAAGTTGTAAATTGGATTATAATCACAATCTGACAGATAGAGAGTGTGGCTCCGTCCCCGATACTTGCAGAGGCCCTCTATTGAGTAACCTCTCATCGCAGTTGCCGGGAGTCGAACCCGGGACCTAACCCTTGTGGCACTCCCTCGCTACCAGTTGACCTATGTCCAAGTATTATACTACCAAGTATAATACGAAAATATAATTTTACCAGTATTGGCAGTATAAAACCAGTATAAATTTCGCTCAAGTATTTTTCGCCCTCGCTACCTTTGTGGCACTCCCTTGCTACCAGTATAAATTTCGCCCAAGTATTTTTTCGAAAGACGACTAAGATACTATTATACGAAAATATAATTTTGGGAAATAATGGCTTACCCTCTTGGGTGCCTTAGCCTTGTATTTATAATAAAACAGATTTATGGAGAATTACAAAGAAATCCCTAAACATTACATTATTACACCCCTCAATTTGTGCAGGGGAAATCACGTGCAAATTGGAACGTAAAAATTGAAAACGCTGACTAGATGAATTCTTGATGAAGATATCAGCTAACTGCAATTGTGTAGGAATATGCTTCACCACAAGATTTCCATGTGTCACTCACTCACAACAAAATGGTATTCAATTTTAATGTGCTTACTCCGATCATGTTGAATGGGGTTAAAATCCAGATACGAAGCTGAGACATTATCACAAAGAAGTTGCACCGGGGGCGAGATAAAAATATCCATGTCTGCCAGAAGTGATCGGATGAAAAATGTATCCTGAACAGTGTATGCAATGGCCTTGTACTCGGCCTCAGTAAAGGACTTGGACGCCGTCAGTTGTTTCTTGGAGCGCCATGAGATTAAATTGGAGCCCAGAAAAACCGCATAACCTGTAATGGAATGCAAACTGTCGGGACAACCTGCCCAATCTGCGTCAGAATAAGCCGTAACAACTGAAATATTTTTATCTGCTCGTAACCATAAACCATGAGTGCTGGTACCCTGCAGATACCTGTAAATCCTCTTAACTGCCAAAAGTTGAGTAGTACGTGGAGCATGCATAAACTTAGACTCAAGGTGTACAACATAAGTAATATCAGGTCTAGTAATAGTTAGATACTGAAGAGCACTTACCATACTGCGATACTCAGTAACATCAGATAACAGTTCCCCATCTGTGAGAGAGAGTGTAGTGCGCGAAGGTAGATGGATACGGACAGGTTTGACAGTATGAAGGTGAAAACGACGTAAAAGATCAGATATATATTTTGCCTGAGACAAAAATAAATCTGTACGTGTACGTTCAGCCTGAATACCCAAAAAAATAATGGACATCCCCTAAATCCTTCATTGGATTAGATAAAGCAATTATGACAGAAGAAACAAATGAAGCAGAAGAGCCTGTAATAAGAATATCATCCACTAATATACACCACCTCATGAGAATCAGTACGAAAATTAAACATGTTTCTCTATGAAAAACCAGACTCAACGGAACCGATGAAACCAATTCAAGCCCGACGAGCTTGTGAAAAAAACGTAGTACCAATCATTTCTCTGTTTCCTTTGCCTTGTTGTTTTTTCTCCTACGGGGCATTGGTCCCACTGCCGTCTCTAATTGGGCAAGTTGGCTACCATTCGTCCACTTTTACTGTGATATTAATTTTTGACTTTGATCCAATTTATGAAACAGGGTCACCTAACCACGGATATTCATCTCAACTAACTTTGTAGGCTCCAGCTCCAATTCAGGTCTGCCGAATCATTCTTCATTCCTTACAAACATTAAATTCATTAAGAAACTAGAACTACAGTTTTTTTACTGCATACATTATATATACCCGATATAACGCTTCTGCATTATTGGTGATCGCGAAGCTAAAGGACAACCAATAATGGAGCGGCGTAGCCCAGTGGAGCCCCACCTTGAGCCGTGGCGGAGCCTTGGCGAGAAGGTGGTGATGGTCACTGGAGCGTCGTCGGGGTTGGGCCGAGAGATCTGCCTCGACTTGGCCAAATCCGGCTGCAGAATCGTCGCCGCAGCTCGCCGGATCGACCGGCTTGAATCCCTCTGCGTTGAGATTAACGGGAGCGGTTCCGGAGATCCGAGCTCCGGTCGTCCGCCCCGGGCGGTGGCTGTCCAGCTTGACGTGACCGCAAATGGGCCCGCCATCGAGGCCGCCGTGCAGAAGGCTTGGGATGCGTTTGGCCGTATTGATGCCCTGGTTAACAACGCCGGCGTCAGAGGTGATTTCGTAATTTCATGTATCGTCTTTCATTTCCATTTTGTCCAGCATTTATGTTCGACTAAGTTATTGACCTTTTGCCAGCATTTTTGATGAATTAAAATATTGAAATTGTATCCACATGCCAGCAGGGCATAGATCAGGCGTTAGAACTTAGAACATATAGTCCAAAAATTCGAAAATTTAATCTGAATAATATACAAATTTCTTTTATTGTATTTGTTTTTTTATCATAATTATTGTATTTGGTTTAAAAATCTATTTTTATGTATTTTTGTAAAATGTGATCTTTTATGTATTTTTGTAAAATAAAATTTAAATGTAAGAGTGTCTTCATTCACGCTCTTTAAATAAATTGTTTTTCTCATTGTTTTTCATTGTCACACAACATTCACCGAATAAATTTTAAATAACCTCAAAGCTCAAAACTTTTCATCTCAAATGATTAGTTTTTCTGGATATGCATTAAATGTATTTTAACTACAATAATCCTTCTCTCACAACGATAATCTTTAAAATTATCTAATACATCATCCAACTATTCTTCAAATACACTAATGAATGAGGATGCCCTAATCAATGCATAATTATAAGTAAAATTGATCACTATTTAAGGACTACTTATTGTAATTAGCGAAGTCCTGAATTTTAATTATGTCTTTTGGGATTAAGGCTTGACTGTTATTGCAGCCATAGCATAGTCCTAAATTTTAAATTTTGGAAAGGTCTTGTTGGCCAACATTTTTTATGAACTGAAATTTAAAAATTGTACTAAGAACCAAATGATGCAATGGTCTTCAATTACAGGAAGGGTACACAGTCCATTGGATTTAACAGAAGAAGAGTGGGATAGCATCATGAGACCAAACTTAGTGGGTACATGGCTCGTGTCAAAATATGTTTGCTTGCAAATGTGCAATGCAAAGCAAGGAGGATCTGTCATTAATATCTCTTCAATTGCTGGTCTTGATCGTGGGCAGTTACCTGGAGGTCTTGCCTATGTTTGTTCAAAAGTTGCTGTCAATTCATTGACGAAGGTAGATCTTTTTTCCCTTTAACATCCTCACTTTGGTCTCAACTCTTAAATAGCTGCATTTTTACGCCTCATTTTTGTTTGGTACTTCAATTCCTTGAGCTTCATTAGCTGCAACCTAGCTTGTTTTAGCACATAGTCATCTGCAAATCTTGTTTGCTTCCTTCCTCAGACCCCCTTTTGTAAGATACAGGTTTTTGTTTTTATTACGTTCAAGGTACAACCTGAATGAAAAGTCAGTAGGTATACTCAGGGCCGGCCCAGGGCAAGTGCAGGCAGCCCACTCGCACAGGGCCCATAAATTCCGAAGGCCCAAAAATAATATTAATACTCCATTATATACAAAGACGCTGCAAAGCTGGGCCTAATCGAAAGGCAGACTGCAAACACCTAGCCCGCATATTTGGCGAGAAAGGAGGCGGCCCAGCTCCACAGAACAAATTTCGACTTTTTCTAGAAATCACAGCTCATCAGGCCCTTGCAATATTAAGCCCAAACTTCATGCTGCGTGCGTTGAAAACTTGAAAGCAAGAGGATACTTATGTAGTCAAAGTGGAAGGAGAGTTGTTGATTCTTCCGGTGTGGGAAGTATGATTGAAAGACAGAGTACACATTAGGCACTCACACGAAATGCTTTAGCTCATTTTTTTTGGACAAACCTATAGCACTTTATGAGTGGGAACCAAATTAGCCTCCAACAAATATTCTACAATTTGTGTTTCGTATTAAAATTATTATAATTATTATTATTCTTACTTTTTGGGATAAAATTCCTTTACTTTTTTCTTGTTGATGTCCCTTAAATGTATTCTCATTTACTTTTTTAGAATGTCTCAAAAAATTATTCTCATTTTCTTTTTTAAAAAGTTTTGTGTGACTAGCATTCATTTACTTTCTGTTACTTAATCACAAACATACATTTTCACTTTATCCTCACTTCGTAAAACTCCGATCTAAGTCAAACTAGGAAGGATTCACATAGAAAAGGAAGACCATTTTTTTTTTGCACAGGGCCCTCATTTAGTCAGGGCCGGCCCTGGGTATACTACCTGTCTACCTCTAAAACTTATTTCCAATATTGTTTGGAATAATTGGCAGGAACTGTTTGCAGCCTGGCTTTATAGAAGTTTTACTCATAAAGTGAAAGTTGATTTATATATTCATTATAGTAACGTTCTATAGAAAAGTATGTTTTGTGTTTATGCCTGCTGGTGGGCAATTTTGCATTGAAGATTCATCCTTTAAAAAACACTCGTTGCCTTCACAAGTTGATCATTTTTTCTTCAACATCCTGAATTGTGTCCCTATATTTAACGTAGTAATAGCTATAATTTTAGGGCACAATGCCTGGCATGGTACTTTACTTCTTAGGGATCTATTAACTGCAATATAGTCTATCTAGTACTACGTATAATGGATATGCTTTATTGATAATATTTCACGTAGACGGTCATACAAAAATCTTGTTTCTTACTTGCTCTGTCTCTAAAACAAGTCATGTTGAAGCAAGGAACCAGTTTGTTTTCATTCGTAGTATGCTCAATCAAGGTATGAGCTTTTACGAATTATGAATTGTTACTAATACCCGTAATCCCCTAAACTTATTTCGAAATTCCCAGTCTTTTTGGAGTAGTTCAGTAAAACTGGCATTGCACTAATTTGGCTTATCCAAAAAGGTTTGTTGAAAAGTGTGTTTTACTGTTTTCTGACTATGCCTTCTTTTGGACCAAATATGTAGTGAAATTTCATCTTTTTTTAAGAGAAAATTACCTCATACTCCGTATATGACTAAAACCTTACATGTTTTCCAAAATATGATCCATATATTTGTTCCCCTAATATGATGACATATGGCATGTATGCATATAACTCGGCCCATTTTCTTTTTCTTATGTGCCTGGTCATATATTAGAAAACAACCATGCATGGTCATATTTTGGGAATTGTCATATAACTCGACATTTTCTTTTTCTTATGTGCCTAGTCATATATTAGAAATCAACCATGCATGGTCATATTTTGGGAATTGTCATTTTTATGGTCCTATATAGGTGTTTTTCCCTTTTTGAACTACATTTTGCCCTCACAAAATGATCAATTTTCTTCTCCAATATCTTGATCTCCTTCCCACATGCTATGTCGGTGATGCAGTGTTTTCACCCTTTCCTTTGGCTGGTAATTGTTAATGTTTTTAGTGGTACTCTAAAAACTGAAATGATAACAGGTAATGGCCATTGAATTGGGAGCCCATGGAATAAGAGTAAACTCAATATCCCCTGGACTATTCAAATCTGAGATAACGGAGAACCTCATGCAACGAGATTGGCTTAAGAATGTTGCTCTGAGGACTGTACCTTTGAGAACATTTGGCACATCAAACCCAGCAGTAACATCTGTGGTACGATACCTAATCCATGACTCCTCCGAATATGTATCAGGTAACCTTTACATCGTTGATGCTGGAAATACATTGCCCGGGGTCCCGATTTTCTCCTCTCTTTGAAGCAAAGGCCAAAGAGTGAAACCTAGTGCACTATGATCCTTTTTCTTCTCCATTACTATTGAGGTCACAAGTGTAATTGTTAATTTTAAACATGTGTTGTGCATAAAACATCATTAATCACTGGCACGAGACCGCCAGTCTCGAAACCAGTCACGAATAGCAATATATTTTTCATTTTTTAATCAGGTTTTTATATATACAATATCAAACTAACCTTCTTTTGTGTTCTTAATGGTGATATTAATATTACATGACACTGATGTTTGGAGGCAAATTTTTAAAATTTGACAGGGGGTGTGAGAAGGAAAATATAAATTTTTATCCAAAAAATAAGACTTGAAAATTGAATAGAAGGTTCCTCCCCTAATAATGCCCCTCATACAAGACAATTGTGAATTAGTTTTCTTTAGTTTCTATTAAGCTTATATCATAGGGCTTCTTGTAAGATAAGATTCTTCAGTTTTGACGTATATATTCATTGACTTTCATACTCGTCTGTCTTTGCCATTCCCTAACTGGCTAACTAATGTGTGTTCGGTCTTGATATTCTGGACTGAGACCATCCCCAAAACTGAATTGGAAGTCCGGTCTAGATTCTAGAATCAAAACTGGTGTGAGAGCCTTGGCTTGGAATGAGGGTTTTGGTTTTCTTAAGCATACCATTTTTTAGTTTTTAGTTTTCTTGAGCGTACTATTTTCTACTCGAAATCATCCAAAATCTACTTTGAGAACAAGCAGGTCAATCGGATCTAAAATCGACATTGATTCACCCTAATTTTGTTTGAGGTTCTTAAATTTAAGATTGGAACCAGTCAGTCATGAACCAGACTAGAATCACTAAACTAAACAAAGAAGAAAACTGATAAATTCAACAAAATTATAACTGTGTAGGCTTATCTAATCTAACTAGTCCTGGATTCTGTTGTGGTGCTCTACCAAAGAAGAATCCTCATTAAAGTTTGTTTATTATCCTGGCCATAACATTGTTTCGTTATGCATACCCACAATTAGCTTCCTTGATCAACATCAGCTTTTTAAAATTCCCCAAGACCCTTTTTACAAATCCGCTAATCATATTGATAATATTCGGAGGAGCTAGGGAGGGGCATGAGGGGGCAAGCCGCAAGCGCCCCCGCTTCGGGTAATTTTTTTAGTACTACTACTTAGAATATATTAAATGCCCCTCCTTTTTTTAAAAATAAATACCAATTAAGGATAATTTTAGATTAAGTGTTAAAATAAAAGGCAAAGTCTTTCAGAATACATGTGTGTCTCTAGTAATACAAGTATTGCCTGCAGCATACCACACTCATTTGAATGCAAGTGTGGATTATTTTAGACATTTAATGACACACATGTTGGCTTTTCGTGGTTATAGTGAGCTAGAAAGTGTTGAGTTTGACGAATACGTTGTCACATTTCTTGTAACAAAAAAGATCAAAACATTCTCGAGATTATGTTGGATTCCCTCCTTAGTCGAGAAATTCATGACAATTTTAGAATTTTTAGAGATCGATTTCCAAGAGATTCTCTATATGTGTGTGTGGGGAAGTATTGAATGTTCTAGAATAATAATGTGGAGTTTTTCGGAGAAGTGTTGAACTCGTTAAAATCATGTGGAAGTGTGTAGAAGCCTCTAGAACATTTTGAAGAATTGTGGGATTTTCTAAATCCTTCCAGAAGATAAGAGAAGTTTGTGGATACTTTTTGGAAAAATCTAGATGTGTAATGGTGTATAAAAAATTCTAGAGAAACTTTTATGAGATTAGTATAAAGAAGCTTCCCATTTATATAAGAACTTTGATGAGAGCTCTTGAGTGAGTGAAAGTGAGAGTCTCCTTGAACAGTTCTTATACCGTGGGATCATCCCACGGTGAGCACCGTGCTCCACATTAAAAAACGACGCAGTTTTAATTATTTAAAAGAAAAATTCGCGTGAACAGTACTTTTTTGAACAGTACACGCGTGAACAGTACTTTTTGTTTTCTTTGTTCCAGTAGCACAATGATGTAACTCACGTGTAAAAAAATGTAACTCACGTTATTAATGAATGCAACTTAAGTCTAGTCAAAGTGTAACTTGTCCAATACATAATACTTCAGTATAAAAAATAAAATATTAATTTCAATGAAAAAAAGAGTCTAATTCCCTATTTTTTTTTTTTACATAAATAGAGTATATGTTTTGTTTTTAATAGCAGTGCTATAAGAAAAAAGATTTTTTTAAGAAAATGATTTTTTTAATAACAAGGGCTTATTATGTTATGTAACTCGCATTATATTGTGGTGTAACTCGCGTTATGTAAAATGTAAATCGCGTGTATTGAAATGTAACTTGCGTTGTTATAAAATGTAATCTCAGTTAACTACAAATGTAACTCGATACCTGGAATGTAACTCATATTACACCCTTCAATGGTTCTCTCACCTTTCATACACGAAATGTAAACTGCGTGTTACAAAGTGTAACTTCTATCAAATTGATATGTAACCTGTATGTATGAAAATGTAACTTGAACCAAATGGAAATGTAAATTGCTTTAATACACATGTAACTTGAGCCCAAATAAAAATATTTCATCCCCAAGTTTCGAATGGTGGTAATCGTCTTCATCCTGTCAAACAAACTAAAACGAACCCACCTAGACCATCCACTCCACTCTCCGATTGAAGGCAACTTCCACTAACCGCCCAGATCTCAAACAAAAACATCACCATTAAAGCAAAACCAAGTGCGGTCAGTTCAAACAATCCCACAGGCAATCCTGTCATCTTCCCCAGTGAAGCACCGGCGAGACCCCAACATCAACCCTGAAATCAGAACGCGGCACAGCAGGTCTTGCAGTTCGAGATGCACCAGAAGGTCAAAGATTGGAGCCAAGCAATTCCAGATGCAGGTTGAAGCCAAGCAATTCCAGATGCGGACTTCCCCTACACTAAATCAGCGGATCGGACGGTCTATTTAGCGGTGCAAGAAGTTTGCTCTCTTTTATTTGATAAACAGTACCGTTTTGGGATCGGGTGCACCGTGCTCACGGTGCAACGATCCCACGGTATAATTTGCCCTCCTTGAAAGAGGAGAGTGAGAGCTTTCTTGTGAGAGAAGAAGACTCAAAGATATCGTTTGATGAAGTGTATGTGATCAAGTGAGGTAGAGTACGTGAAATAGACTCATATACAAAAAGTGAGTGAAGATATTATAAAGTGATATTGTCAGATTGAGTCTTTGTATTATGACTGTGTGGATACATAAGTGTACAAGAGTCTATGATATCGTGATCCTAGAAAATGCTGGGGTTGTGTTTTTCCAACAAAAATATACAACATTTTGAACAAATTAAAACTCGTATGATTGATCGACCGAGATTATAAATATGAGTCAAGCGGTATGTAATGAACTATTTTGTGCTAATGTAATACATTTTTATTGTTTTTATTAAATTTTGAGTGAATACACAACATTAATAGTCTTTAGTACGCCCCCTCCTTCGAAAAAATTCTGGCTCCGCTACTGGTAATATTCAAGGAGTCGGTATGCATAGGACACTTGCAAGTTATCATTGTTAGTATGGACAAATATTAGTGAGGGCCAGGACCGATACCTATATTTCCGGTTTGGACCGATTTGGATTCGAATTAAATTTTATTTTCAATGAAGTTCCAAATACAAAACTAAATTATATTAATATATTAGTGTAAAGATGTATGCACTATAATGACATTAAGACATCTGTGTAAGTATTTAAATAGAATTGCAATCCAATAAAATACAAAAAAACAAATTTCAAAACAATACAAGTGTCTCAAATAAAAGTAACTCATCCGTGATCTTTTAGTAAAAAAATTACATACTTCCTCCGTTCTTTTTTAGTTGCAACGCTTTCACTTTTACGCAGGCTGACATACAACTTTGACCATTTATTTAATTCCCAACGTAAAGAATTTAAAAATCCAAATTTTGAAAATTTTATATGAGACAAATTTACTAATATTTTTCAAGAAATAAATTTATAGATATTACTAAATAAAATATACTCCGTAATTAAAGTAGAGCATTAAATAGTGTAAAAGTAAACATGTTGAAATTATTTTAAAATGAAGGTAACACTTTGTAAGAACCAGTTCGTATACCGTGCAACCGGTCCACTATGAGCATCATGCTCCTATGCCCAAAACGAAGTCGTTTGAAGCATGCTGAAAATCGCGTGTTTATTGTTCACGCGCGTGAACAATAACCGTTTTTTTTTGTTTTTTCATTATCCAGGAGCATAATGATGTAACTCAAGCTGATAAAAAATGTAACTGCAGACATGTCGAAATGTAACTTATCTAATACGGATATTAAGAAATAAAATATTGATCTCAAAGTGAAAATGATAAATAAAGAGTTTAATTGCCCAATTAATTCAAGTAAATAATGAATATATTTTGTTTTTAATAGAAGAGGTTTATTTTTTTATGTAACTAATGGCAAATATAACTTAGGTGTATACATAATGTAACTTGTTGAGATAAATTCAAATGTAACCCGCGCTTTAGGTGATGTAACTCGCTTATAAGAAGATGTAACTCATGCGCATGAAGATGTAAATCGTTCATAAGATGAAGGAAAAGTAAAAAAAAGTATATGAATGTGAAATACAATATACTTATGTTATGTATGTTAATAAATTTTTGTAATAAATTGGTAAAAAAGAAGTTAATTCAGTTGTAATTTAATTAGTTAAAGATAAAGATAAGTAAAAATATTAGATGTAACTCGCACATAGAAAGATATAACTCGCACACAAGAAGATGTAACTTCATATACTATAAAATGTAATTCCAGAAATTGTTTTGAAACATAATTCACACATGCGCAAATGTAAAATTTTATCAAATGTAATCAAAATTAATAAATTTATTGTCTTAAACACACTAAAAACATATAAAAGAGATAAGAGATACTACTATATTACAGGAAAAAGTGTATGAATATGAAAAATATATTACAAAAAAAAGTATAGAGAAAAATTGGTTGTAATTTCAATTGAATGAAGAAAAAAAGACAAAATTATATATGAATAACGACTAAGACAAAATAAGTAATTAATTTATTTTGAAATGATGAAAATTTGATCAAAATTTTTTACTATGTAATACATTTAGTGCTCCTAATTAAAAAAGAATCATTGAAAGTAAAAAATTAAATAAAAATTAAAAGTAAAAAAGGAAAAGGAAATAAAAGAAATGAGGGTGGGGGAGTGCCATTAAGGCACTAACTAAATTC